AACAAGAGAATAATTATGGAAGCTATCGAAATAGAGAAACACCCTTATATCATGAATAAACGTGATGATACCTACTACCCTCCAAACATCTGGAAACCAGCCCTAGTCAACAAACGAGACCCACCCACCACCCAGGCTGTTACAACACGAAACAACGATGTACATATAGCCAGCACAATCAACACCAATCTACCAATCATGATATAACCACACAACCAATTACTCCACTTACTGAAACAAAGCCAGCACTCCATATCCCGCCCACCAAGTTTTATAGAAAGACGGCAGCTCCGATCACACTTTAAGCCCAAAACCCAGCCTGAAGATGGCAAGTGAGACCTCGCTGAAACATTGACAAGACAATCTCAATCTTACACGGGAAAAGACCCAAATACAACAAGACCAGCATACCTACACCCGTAAAAATTTACGAAAACAAATATATATATATAGACATACACATACATACATACATACACATATATATACATACACATACATACACACACACACATACATACACACACATATACACATACATACATACATATGTATTTTTAAGCAGTATGGTCAGCTTAGAGGGTCACGACATTCATACAGATAGTCTTCGACTTATAACAAATGATCAAAATTCAGCCATGGTTCACTTAACAACAATGGCAAGAAAATTGATACAATGGGGCGAAATCCACCTAACAAATGTCTCATTTAGCAACAGAAATTTTGGTAGTAAGTCAAGGGTTGCCTGTACTCATTCCTGACACAGTATAAGAAAGGAATAAATCTATGGCGTTGAACAAACATTTTATATTCGTGCTTAAGATAACTTTAAAAGGAAAAGAGCTGAGATAAATCAGTACATACCTTTAATAGCAGGAAATCTGGTTTTAATGAATTTAGCAAAAGGTGAGTAACATGCTAAGGATTAAAATGCTAAACAATATTGAGATTAAGGGGGAAGAGAGATTCTAAATGCACAGACAGAAGCAATTTCCCCAAAATATCTTGCCGAGGAGCACTTGAACTTTAGACTTTAACCACCATATATACACACACCAGTAACACTTTAGATTTTAACCCCATATATAGTTCTTAATTGACGCTGGCTCCCTTGGCTAAAGAAATGGAGATCAGCACTGCCACTTAAAGTCAGACACAACTGGACAGGGGAAATCTTTACCTTTTCCTGCATTTGAACAACTCCCTTGGCAATCGGAATGATCCTAAAATAGGGGTGTCAAACTCAATGTCATTGAGGGCTACATCAGGTAATCAGATAATTTGTGGTTGATCTCAAGGGGCCAGATGGGTGTGGAATTGTGGGTGTGGTCAGGTCAACATTGCTCACATGTAGGGGGATGCCTGTGGCAGCCTGCATGGGGCTGGGGGGGATCCACTGTCTCCAGCACGCAAGGGCAGCCTCTTGCTGGCTCCAGGATGGCCCTGTGGATCTATGGCTGACGACATTCCAGCCTGGATGGCAAGCACCAAATTTTAGATCAACGCCCAGGGCAGGTCATTTACTGTTTCCAGGGCAGCCCCATGGGCCAGATCTAACCACATGGTTGGCTAGATTTGACCCACGGGCCTTGAGTTTGACACCCCTGTCCTAAGATATCGTGATTACACAAGTGAAACACCCTGCTAGAAATGATACATGAGTTTCTCAATTAACAGATAACGAAGAGAACAATAAATGAAGCAAAGTGGTCATTCTATACGTTGCAGGCATATCAGAAAAGCTCAGGATGATCTTCAGCCAACATAACATACGTGCACACTTCAAACCCAAGAATACACTAAGGCAGGAACTTGTCCAACCTCAAAGATAAAACACCCAGACAAAAACTGAGCGACGTGGTATATGCAGTACAATGTACTGAGCCATGTGCAGATCTGTACATTGGGGAAATAAAACAACCACTTCATAGGCAGATGATACAACATAGGAGAATGAACACACTAAGATTAGATTCAGCAGTCCATGTGCATTTAAAAGACAGGCCACTCTTTTGAAGACAGCAGAGTCCACATTTTGGACAGACAGAACCTCTAGTTTGAAAGAGGGGTCAAAGAGGCAATCTATGTCAAAGTTGAACAGCCCTCTTTCAGCTGAGGGATAGGACATCATCTATCTCCAATCTACAACAACAGTCCTCTTTCCAAAAAGGCTCCACACCCATTTACAAAAGTCAGGTGAACCTGATGACACAGATAAATGACCAGCTGTCTGAAAGGAATATAAATTCTTCCATTCCCCACCATCCAGTCAGAGCGGAAGAAGGTTCTTGGATGAGAAGTGAAATGTCTTTTTTTTAAAAAAAAAACCAGAAAGTCCAGTTATCTCTTGAAAAAGCACTTTTGGGTCACTATGACCTGGATAACTGAAAATGCACAGTCACACACCTCACCCACGTTTCTCCATCCCTGTGTTTTGCATTTTTGAGTCACAGATGATGCTTTTTAAAAAAAAAAACCTGAAGGGGAGAGCAGGTTTATTTAAACAAAAAACAACAACAACAATATCAATCCTTGCCATTCCCAAACCTAGAAACCCATTAGTGTCTACCAGTCGCTATTTCTTCATATGAAAGCTTACTTTTGCTCCTCACCCTGGCAGTTTCTCCCGGTAATATTGGCACGCGAAACAATGCAGGACGTGTAGCCAGCACCCGCTCCCAGCAAAGAGTAAAGCTTGCTCTACCTAAGCTTTGCCAACCTTTGCGAGTTTTATAAGGTTTTATTTTTCCTTTTCCCAACGCTGCATTTCACCCGGAAGCGGCCCTGTGACTTGTTGCATAGCGCCGCTTCAAGACTTTCTCTCTGCGCGGAGCCGAAAGGGCCTCTACCGGAAGTAAAAGGGTTGCTTTTGGGGCGCTGTGGTCCCACCGGCGGAGGAGAGGTCGTTTTTCTCTTTCTGCCGGCAAAGTTAGGCGGGCAGGAAAGAACATGGGCAGGACAGTGACCGTGGCTACGTGCGCCTTGAATCAGTGGGCGCTGGATTTTGAAGGCAACCTGGAAAGGATTCTCAAAAGTAAGGCAAAGGTTGCGTGTGGGCTGTTTGCAAAATGCAGCTCCAAAGGAAGAGGGATCTTGTTTTTATTACCCTGCAGTGGAAATTAACATTTCTTAGCAATAATTAAAATAAGAAGAAAGGTGGCTCTGGATACGTCCTGGATCCATTGATTATTTTATATTCATCCATCCACTTTCTAAATCTTTATTGATATGTTTATATCGTTCCTTTGTTGTTATAAATAACCGCAAGAAGGCGGACGTACTTAATCGTTCCTCCTCCTAATTTCCCAACAACTACACTATGAAGTGGATTGGGCTGAGAGTAATTTCACTCACAAGGCAGGATTCCAACTCAGCCTTTTAGGTTTTTGGCTTTAATTACAACATCATCAGAGCGAGAACCAGTTTGGTATTGTAGTTAATTACTACTTGGGTGGTGTTTTTTTTTTTTAGTCCTAGCTTTTTATAGTTCTGCAAGGATAATTATTGCTGACTCGTCCTAATTTATATGCACAGTCTTATTTTATGGAGCTTTATAGCTTGCCTGTATTCTACCAGCTTTTTATCTGAAGAAAAGGCATCCCTTTATTTTATTCAAAGAATGAGAACCCTGTGAGGTTGGTTGGGCTGAGAAAAATTGACTAGCCCAATTGCAGTCATTGGGTTTTTAAAATCCAATTTCTCAATGCTAATCCAGTACTTCAGGCCTTATAGTTCACTAATTTGGATATAAAAACAAATGAAAATGGTTTATTAATACTACTTTTATATTATTGTTGCAGTTTTGAGTGGGGCTGCGTAGAACTTTTCCCCCAATGTGGTAATTTGCTATATAGAGAAGAAGAGGTGTTCAGGATTTTTTTAAAAAGCAAAACTAAATTGTTTACTTCCTCAAAATTCTCATTGCTTCACAGTTTCAGTTTATCTTGTATACCTTGTATAAGGTATAACTTTGGTTTATTACCCAAAACATTTTCTTGTCATGTATGTATTATATATTGTGTAGCATTGCATTATAATTATCTTTTCATTTTATTTATTTGTATCCTGCTTTTATTTTTACAAATAATGAAAGGTAGCACATCTTCCTCCTATTTTCCCAACAACAATCAGCCTGTGCGGTGAGTTGGGCTGAGAGAGAGTTATATTCAGGGTAATAAGTGGATGCAGTTTGTTGAAATATATTTTGCCTTCAGGAATATGAGTTATAAAAATGTATATGATTTTTATTATCCTAGCTCTGCTAGCAATAGCGTGTGGAAAACAGCTTTGTTATACTATATTTAAAGTACAAGAAATCTTAACTTACCTGTTCTCTGAGCTTTTGGAAAGTATGAGAAATAGGAACTTGGTTTTAAAAGGTTCCTGAAAATCTCAATTGTCTTGTGTCCTCAGTCTCATACTCGAATATTCTTTTCTTGCTTTGCAAAATCAAAGGATACACATAACACTACCTACATTTCAAAGCATAGAAAGCTTTCTCTGACAACATATTGCAGATGAATAAAAATGATAATTTAATCTCCTAGGTATTGAAATTGCTAAAGAAAAAGGAGCAAGATATCGACTCGGCCCAGAACTTGAAATTTGGTTAGTAATTCACAACTTGTTTGTATAAACCAGTAATCCTCAACTTTTTAGGGAAGCTGAGTACATTTCAGATTGTGATGACCTGAGGCATGGCACGAAGGCAACACAGCCAGAGAACCTGTATGAGTCTCTTTATTGGCTCCAATTTTGCTCCCAACGTCCCGTTTACTCCCGTTTACGGATTTATTAGCTATTCCCCAACATTTTGGGGTGGGGGGAGTGCAAAAGATTTATTAGCTATTCCCGAACATTTTGGGGTGGGGGAAAACAAATTAGCTATTCCCCAACATTTTGGAGTGGGGGGAATGCAAAGGATTTATTAGATTTTCTAGCTCGGACCCAAGGCAATTGGTAATTCGACACAAAACACTCCCTCTCTCTATCTTTCTCCCTTCCCTTCATCTGATTGGATGGCGGCTAACTGTCTCTTGAGGCGGGGGTGAAGAGTATCTCTCCCTAAGGCCCATGAGGAAGGGCCAGGGATGGAAGAGACTGAGTCCTATTACCCAGGACCCTAACAGCGGCATCAAAATGGTAGAGATGGATGACTGGGGAAGAAACCCTGGGGGAGAAATAGGGGTAGTGAAGGGTAGGAGGAGAACAGTCCCATTCCGATTTTTATAACCTAATAACAGACAGTGCCAATTTAAAGATGCAAAATCAGCAACTATTAAATCATAGTTTGCTGTTTTAAAATTATAATTTGAAGAACAGTCATTAAGACCCAGTTCAGGAGGATGCCGATTGATACGAAAGTCAATTGTATTATGATCGCTGTTAGAAAAGGGTTCTTTAACGTGTAAGCCATAAATTAAATTTAAGATCTGGATCTAGACAATTGTTGAGTCTGGTGTTGTCAATGACTAACTGCTCCAGCCCCAAGGTTGTAATAGCATTGTAAAAAGTTACATGTATTGGTTCATTTGTTGATTCGTTTAAGGCATAATTAATTAATGGCAGAAGAACAAAAAGATGTGGGCAAGGAGCCCCCCCAGGTTAAAAGTTCAATTAACTTTTTCATTACAGATTACAATTGTGCTCTCTAACATAACAAGAAGCGAACTGTAGTATTTAGAATCAGATCACAAACATTGGACTCTGGAAAAGCAAGCTCGGGAGTAACATTAATCTTTTTCAATCCTAGGGAATTTTTTGCAAAAAATGGCAATGACGACCACTTCTGCAATTTTCATGGTCAGACCAAAAAATGTGATAATCACTTGCCATAAAAAAGGGTCTCAAAAAAATGCATTCAAGCAGGTCTCGCAAACAAAAATGAAGTCAAAAAGGGACATTTTCAAGAGCAGAAGGAAGTCAGACATTTTGTTTGTGAGGCTTCTTGCATTAGATAGTTTACACATTAAACCAGTAGAAATGGACCTTAAGGAAATGGAGGGCACACATACCTAACATTGGTGATTTTATTCAAATTGTTAGTGTATTTTCTTTCAAACGGTCCAGAGAGCTTTATTTATTAGGTAGTTTTAAAAATTTAGTAAATAAAAATAAAATAGAAATAGTAATCCAACAACATATTTTGTTACACATTCCTAGTTTCTCTGACACATAAACACATTTAAATGTGTAGACGTATATAAATTAATTCTGCATTATTATTATGTGCATAAGTTGAATAAAAGTGTTTCTATTGATATTGAATTTAGAATTTGGAAAAATCATATTATGCAAATAACCTGGGATGTTTTGTTGTAATTTAATTCATCTCTCTCTTTATTTTATTTTTTAGTGGTTATGGCTGTTCAGATCATTATTATGAATCCGACATACTGTTACATTCATTTCAAGTTTTGGCCAAGCTTTTGGAATCTCCTGGTATTCAGGACATAATATGCGATATTGGGATGTAAGTGTGTTATTACTTGACTGCATAGGGAGGCTTTTAGTAAAAAAAGACCTAGCAATGTTAGCTTCAGATTAAGTTAGCTGGTTAAAAGATTGTTTTCTTTAAACATTTTAAGTGTTATCTTTCTTCAAGTTTATGTTTAAGGGTATAAAAAAAAAGTCATGGAAGAAGGCTACGGCAAACCACTTTCTTATTGTAGCCTAAATCTTGCTGTCCATATAGTCATCCCAGTTCATTTCAGTTTGAAAGAAATTTTACTTTAAAATATGAAAAAGATAGTAGAGTTCAAGCTTTAGGTAAGATTTGGTAAGTTCCAACATCACAGAATCAGGAGGAGAGTCATGTGTTGACATTATTTTGTGTTTTCTGGGTTAAGGTGGATTAAGTGATGTAAAGATTGATATTCTCAGTATTCTGATCATTGCAGTAAAACATAAAGAAATATTTTAGAACAGAAACCAATTAGTATTCTCAGTGTGTTGGAGGTTCAAGAAAGTATAAGATTTACAGTACATCACTTGATGAAAAGATGTATCTTCAGTGGTAAACATGTGAGGACTTTTAGAATAACAAACAAGGTAGTTTAAAAGATTAACATTTGATTCGTCCCTATGTACAATAAATGACAGTGATGCAAACATATTTTTGAATAATCTTTTGATCATCTTAATATGAGATTGCAATTGATATAAACAGAAATGAAAAATATTTCTTGCATGTGTTAAGAAACAGAAATTTGAATGCAATCCAAAATCGGTTTACATTCTTGAAAAGAAAGGATCCAAGTATGGAAATGTATAACTTAATATCTTTATTTCTATAGGCCTATTATGCACCGGAATGTTCGTTACAACTGTAGAGTAATTTTTCTAAACAAGTAAGTAATTAGAAACACTGTTTTGTAAGCTGCCTAGAGTCACTTGACTGAATGGGCAGCTGTGAAAATCAATCAATCAATCAATCAATCAAATAAACAAATGCTGTCTGCCACCTTGTCCTGCGATCCCAGATAGTCAAGCTCTGCCTGGAACTGATAATCTGAAGCCTGAGAAAAATTGGGATTGAAATAATGAAGATTTGAATGCACATGCTGAGGTTTTTCCACGTTAAGAGAGGAAGCAAAAGTTGAAATGTGGGAAAGAAAGCTATTGTTGGAGTTTTTGAGAGATGGAGAAGAAGATAGCTGGAAAAGCAAGATAAATTTAGGCAGCATCAAAAGCTGGAGTAAATAATTTCAGCCTATTAGAGACTTGCATGAGGCTTTGCGTGTTCAATGGAACAAGCTGCTTTTAAATAAGTTAAAAGACGAGGCAAACTCCAGAGAAGACATGCTATCAACCCACATAACTATATGCAGTAGTCCTCCATGGAACAGCTCCTGATGAAGTAAATGGTTCTGTAGGTACACTATATTGCCAAAAGTATTCGCTCACCCATCCACATAATCAGAAGCAGTTGTGAGCGAATACTTTTGGCAATATAGTGTATCTGGGCCTTTAAAAGTAACAACCAACTTTAGGAATTCCTGGAAACAATTAGCAGACTGGAGCGGGAGGGAGAGAGAGATCTCCACTGGAAAATGGTTCTGTATCCGTATTCTTAAACTACAGTATGTTGTCCAGAACTGAACGTAACCAGAAGTATGGCATGGCTAGAATCATGGCTTCTTGTTATAATTCTATTCACATAGCCTAGAACTGTGATGGCGAACCTAGGCCACAGGTGACATGCAGAACCCTCTCTATGGCCACATGAGCCGTCGCCCCAGCTGAGCTCTACCACGCACGCATGTGTGCCTCCCACTGGCCAGCTGATTTTTGATTCTCTGCCGCCCATGCCTGGGAGTAGGGCACATGCGCCTGTGGGGTGAGACGGGGGTCATGTGCATGCACTGGTGTGGGGGTTGCATGCACATGCGCAGAGGGCAGGGATGCAGCATGCCTCCCCTGCAGCCCATTTTTGGTCCAGGAGGCTACAGAGAGGCCTCCTTGGCCCAAAATGGGGCACAGGGTGTGTGTGTGTGTGCATGCAGGGGGGGAGGAGGGACTACTGGGGTCATGTGTGCATGCACGGGCACCAGGGGGAGTATGGGGGTCATGCGTGCATGCGCAGTGGGATGGGGCACGGGTGGGGGGTGTTGCACATAGTTTGCATTAGTTTTGGCAGGCGACAACAAAAAGTTTAGCCATCACTGGCCTAGAATTTGTATGTTTGACTCTCAGTGGATTTGGTATTTTTCAAATATGGTAAGTTATGATTTAAAACAAGTCTCTTTTTTTCCTGGTTCCATAGTAGATGCTTGTAACGGTTTTCTTTTTATTTTGATGAAGAAAAATTCTTTTGATACGGCCGAAGATAGCATTGGCAAATTCAGGAAACTATCGAGAAATGAGGTGGTTCACTCCTTGGAATAGATTACGGTAACTTCTCTTCCTTATTTGTGCTTTTGCCCAAGTGAATCTGAACATTTGGGTTGCCTTTGATGTTTGCCACTGTAAGTCTGCAAGATCATTCGGGAGACATATTTTAGAAAATATTTAGATATTAGGATCCATGTATTCTTTTTCATTGCTGATATACTTGCTAAATGATGGTAGACCTATAATAATATAATGGCTTTGCAAGACACTGTAGATTCTAATTGTCTTAACTTGCATAGAATAATGTAAGCAAACACATTATTCTATACAAACAATGATCATTATATAAAACTGAGAACTGGTTGTGCTTGTGGCATTATAGGAACTTTTCTTCAGCCTTTTTCCAACAACATCTTTGGAGTACACCAGTATGTGTTCATCCATCTCACTCATTTTTGATGGATTTTATTGGTTAGCTGCCCATGGTTTCCTCATAGTAACTAATCCCTTCCTTCAGAGCAACCTTCTTGACTGGTAATAGAGTCGATCCACTCACACCACACTTTTTGCATAGAGCTTATTTCCCATGTGTGGATAGGTCACTATGGTGCTGAAGGGGCCTGTCAGCTGCACTGTAGGATGGTAATGTTGTCCACAAATGGCCTACAGTGAGCTGTGAATGATCTATGGGCAGCACTTAGCATCCACTGAGAAGAAAAGATACATTTTGCAGATGATGTAGTACTAAACCTCAAAAGACATGTTCTACATCCAATGTTCCCCCTAATTTTTTTTCAGTGTGTGGAGAAAAGTATAGTGTTTGAGCGGCACATTTTCATCCTGAGCACCTGAATTTTGTTTAGCCATAATTGCCATTAGAGCAGATGTTGGGGAGGGGGGGGGAAGAGGAAAAGGGTCCCCTCCCTCTCCCTCAGACCCCCAGGAAGGAAAGAAGGAAGGGAAGGGTGGGGGAGGGAAAGGAAATGGGAAAGAAGAAAAGGAAAGGGTGAAGAAGGAAGGGAAAGGGAAAGGAAGAGAAAAGAAAAAAAGGAAAAGGAAAGGAAAAGAGAAAGGAAAGGAAAAAGGAAAGGAAATGGAAAAGAAGGAAAGGAAATGGGAAAGAAGAAAGGAAAGGGAGCAGGGAGAGAATGGGAAGGGGAGGGAAAAGAAAAAAGAAGGGAAAAGGAAATAAGGAAAGGAAAAGAGAAAGGATAGGTAAGGAAAAGGAAAAAGAAAGGAAAATAGAAGAAGGACAGAAAGGGAAAGGAAAGAGTGGAATAGATTGATACTGCTCAAAAATCAAGTCGCAAGATCCTGTGGACCCCTTTGGCTCAGGAAGTCCAACTCCAATCTGCTTCCATCTCTCCGCAAAGTGAAGGGATCGCAGAAAGGCTGCTGAGCCCAGAATAGACTTTCAGACGACACAATGCCTGAGAAACACGGGATATGCAGAGAAATGCAGGCTACAACCAGCGAATCACATTTTCCCAGGAACCGACGAATCCCCAGAGGATCAATGGGAATTCTCCCTTCTGCAGCATCATCGGTCTCCAGGCAAAGTCTTCCTTGACTTCACCCGCTGGAGGAGAGAGTTCGGTGCAGAGAGTGGGGGGGGGGGATATTTTAAGTCATATTTTAAGACATTAAAAAACACTGGGCGTTTTCTTGTTATGTCCGTGGCCGCGCAGCTTAGAGGGAACATTGTCTACATCCCCCAAATTCCATCTGTCATTTTGGGGATGCATAGTGCAACAGAAATAAGGCCCAAACTGCAGAGATAGAAAAACCTTTATGATCTTACAGGATTTAATCAAGATATCCAAATCAAGGCAACAATACTGCAGGTAAAAGAGTCACCTGTGCAAAAACTGACCAGTACAGTACTTAAGACTTACAGGGAAGCTGCATGTGGCACAGATATAATGAAGGTTCTTCTCTCTTTTTCTCTCTCTCTCCCTCCCTCCCTCCCCTCCCCTCCCTCTCCCTCTCTTTGATTTTGTTTTTCCTTTGCTAGGCATGTAGAAGAATATTTTCTTCCAAGAATGATCCAAGAGATTACAGCTCAGGTAATATTCTTTTCTTCTGGATTCAAGAACATTGTAGTTTTCTGAAAGGTAAATGGCTGAAATGAAATTCAAGTCTTTACTCTCTGGGAATTCTTGGAGTTGTAGGCTAAGTACTTGGGGAGACACCAAGTTAGATGATGATTTTCTTAGCCTCTTGCAATTGTATAACCAATAACTTTTAATCTTGCTTCATTTCTCTTAATTTTGAGATATGATTAAATCAAAAGTAGTTAATTAACCTAGTTACTTGCTGATACCTGTGAAATAGAGAGCATCTCATTTAAAGCAAAAGGTAAATAAAATAAACTTTGGGCTGCTTATTTTTATCCCTAAATTCTCCTAAAAGTGATAGTGATCTTTTATCAGGAAGATACAAAAAATTGTAGACTGCATGTGCCTGTTTTGAAAAATACAGGCTTTATCTAAAAAGTCAGTTCACCTTATATTTATTAATACTTAAGAAAGTAAGCTTTAGATGTTTAACTTTGCTTAATAGCATAAAGAAGTACTGTATTATTCATAATTTCGAAATATTTTGTACCTGAAGCTTCAGGCTCCTGAAGTCCTAATGGTGCTTTCTCCAAAATGAAACTGGAATTTCTTGATTTTTTTTCTTTTGAAGTTTTACTTCTCCTCCAAAAAGCTGCTTCAATTCATAGACATATACCTTGTAGATAATATCTTTTTAATTCAGCTAAACTCTGGTTTCATAAAACAGGATAATAAGGGCAGTCAACCTGTTGCTTACAAAATGAATGCAGTCCCAGAATATCTTTTTTTGCATCCCTTAAAACTCATGCTGCTGAAATTCAACAATGAATAGAGCAGATTCTTGGTGCATACATATGCTGGGCTATGGACCGTAATAAAATTTGAATTGGATTGGATTAGATGCATACAAAATAGAAAATTTTAACATATGAAAATAATAGTAGGACAAAAGTTCATTCCTATTTAGGGCTGCCTTTGAAGGCTACTTGGAAATGTCACCTGGTATAACAAGTAACAGCTAACTTGTTAGCAGATGAGAGCCACTTTAAGAGGATGAAGCCTGCAGCAGTCCATTGGCTGTTGACATGTTTCCAAGTACTATTCAAAGTTCTAATTATACACCCTATGCAGCATGAACCCATCTTTTCCATGGGTTTGACTAGAATATACCCATTATAAGAATTAGCTTGGAGATAGATCCCTTGAGAATCTGAGAAAAGTGTGGAAATGTGCTGTGTCAGTGGCAGCTCCTTTCCTTTAGAAAACCTTATTCCATGAAAGTCAAGTGACCTTCATACTTTTGAAGGGGTGAAGACCATATTTTTGATCAAGAATTGGAGCTGAAAGTATTCTTGTAGGTGTTTTTAAAAACCCGATTTTAATTACTTTTAGGTTTTATGATTTTAGAAGCTGCTCAGAATCTTGGCTAAAATACTTGCAACCAAGTATTTCATTTTTCCTTCCCCTTTGTCCAACATCATTTCAATTATTTCCCGAATGTTTCCAACTGACAGGCTATTTTCCTTGCATTTAGATATTGAGTACACATCCATGTCTTAATCACACTTAGGACAAATATCTTCCTTTTTATTGATTCTATTTCTAGTTATGGATTCCTTTTATGTCATCTCTGATAGTATATCCCCATTTTTTCGTTATCTTAGGAAAGCGTTCCATTTGGTGATGCCGTACTAGCAACTTTGGATACTTGCATAGGGACTGAAATCTGTGAAGAACTATGGATACCAACCAGGTAAAAGGGATAGGCTTTAGTCTTCTGTGTACTTTATTTAGAAGTGTTAACTGCACTAATTTCTGTACATAAATTTAAATCATGATTTAAATCACTCTTAAGGCTTAATTTAAATCAACTTGATTTAAATCATAATTTTTAAAGAGCAACTGTCATCTCGGTTCCGCAGCGGCTCTTCCTCTAAACCGCTATTGACTCACCGTCAGTCCCAATATTGCAGAATACGCAGCTTCATGCTACATGACTAAGCTCCATTTCATGCTGCATAAACTAAATTATTAATGTATCTTAAATAGAAAACTATCTTTAGATATATTTTTACTCCAAAAGCATTTTATTAAAATAAATTTGATAAAAATTAAAAAAATGATTTAAATGTTTAGAAATCCATATTTTTATTTTTAAAAATCATCGATTTTCATCCACCCTGATGCTTGGTTACATGCTTACAAATTCCATTAACTGCTCAGTTATTTTAATCTTTTGTGGTGTATCATAATAGTAAAACGAATTTTTTGGATAGCATGGAGATAAGGTATTTATTTGCTTGCTATTTATTTTATAGCCCTCACATTGAAATGGGAATTGATGGTGTGGAAATCTTCACAAATTCCTCTGCAAGTCACCATGTATTAAGAAAAGCAGACACTCGAGTGGAGTTGGTAAATTCTGCAACAGCAAAGGTAATGTTCCTGGCATATTTTTACATTATATGTGATAATTTTTTTAATTACTTTTTGCCTCAAGGAAAGTGCTATCTGAGTCCTTGTTGCTCTCATAGTGATGGAAATAAGACACTGGGGCATTTATCTGTGTCAGTACATTTCCTTATAACTTCTTACAGTTCTGTCACCAGAAATCATCTCTATGTGGAGAAATAACTGATTTCAGTTGCAGATTTGCACTGTACATATTAAAGGATTCCAAATCTTAAAAGAAGAGTCAAGATTGTTCTGACGTCATAAAATGCATTTTTGGCACATACTGGCTTGCTTTCACATCAAAGTCAACACGACTATGCCCCTGGATAGTCATATTGCTTCAGTGATGGCCCAAATAGTGATGCTTAATGCTATCCTAAATAAGATTGCCAAATGGTTCCTCTGCTATTTAAACGTACAGTAAAAGGTTGTTGTAATTAGCAACACATGCATTTACATCTTTTTCCAGAATGGAGGAATCTACGTCTTGGCAAACCAGAAAGGCTGTGATGGTGATCGCTTGTATTATGATGGATGTGCCATGATATCTATGAATGGTGCTACAGTTGCTCAAGGACGTCAATTTTCACTGGATGACATAGTAAGGCTCTAGCAGGGGGTGCAATGCTTGATAATGTTGGTTAATATACATTACAGTATTCAATGAATACTCCTATCTGAGGGTTGGTACATAACAGGAATTTATCAACATCAGCGGGATTAAATAAGCTCAAAGTGCTTCTGTGCCTCCAATATAAACTATATAACTAGTTAACTACAATTTTACTATAGACCTCTAGTGAAAAATGGTTTTGAAAATGTTTTACTTTGAAGGATATTAATTTCTCTTGTCACTTTTTTTTAGGAAGTCCTCGTTGCCACTTTGGATTTAGAAGACGTCAGAAGTTATAGAGCAGAAATATCCTCCCGAAACTTAGCAGTAAGAATTTCTTGCTTGTGTTTTCATTTATAAATAAATGAATAAGTTTAACAACGTGTGTCAGGCATAACACACATTTACAAGCAATGGGCATGAAGGAGAATTGCCAGATACATTGCTTTTACTGAAAAACATATTGTCTATGTAGTGTGACTTTATTTTTCTTTTCTAATTGACCAGGCAAGCAAAGTGACTCCTTATCCTAGAATAAAAGTAAACTTTGCATTGTCAAATTCCGATGATACCTGCACGCCTACAAATGAACCTATCCAGTGGAAGTATCATAGTCCTGAGGAAGAGATCAGGTAGGCAAAATAGTTTATGTATGACTTTGCCTGCAGCAAGGACATGTGGCTGGAAGCTATAGGGAGGGGCGACACACATAGCAGAGGAACATGGCAGCATGTACTCAGAATTGATAGAGGATTAAGTAGAGGATAGAGGTGTAATTCCTATAGATTTTAGTCACCCCACTTCATTCTCTTTAATTTAACTCTGCTTTTCTGAGTAGAGCATGGTCATTCTCCACTCGGTAGCATTGATGCAGATGTAGAGGGAGTCAACAGTATTAAGTATCTGGGAGTGCAGATAACTAACAATCTGAACTGGTGGCCCACTGTTAGCCGTGACCCACTAGCAAGGGGACCGTGAGGGGTTCACAGCTGGGCCGTGGAAACAGCTGGCAAGCATGCACACATACACATGCATCCTCACTTGGGCGAGCAACGAGCAAATGCATGCACACACAAGCTCCATTTGTGTGCGCTTGTCAGCCACTTGTGTGAACCATCCCCTCCCTCACTGGTCTGCAAAGCCGGAATCACTGGGGAATTCTGCCCTATGGTGTCATATGCATCTGGAAATTATCTTTTCTTGAAGGAAGGGATTTTCATTTAGGGTAAGAACCTTCAGCTGCAGTGAAGGCACAAGATCTTGGAATAAAAGAGCTGAGGTGGCGCAGTGGTTATGGTGCAGTACTGTAGGCCACTTCAGCTGACTGTTATCTGCAGTTCAGCGGTTCTAATCTCACCGGCTCAAGGTTGACTTAGCCTTCCATCCTTCCGAGGTGGGTGAAA